AAACAACATTGAGATACCACCTCACTCCAGTTAGAATGGCAAAAATCAAGAACTCTAATAACAACAGATGCTGGAGGTGATGTGGACAGAAGGGAACCTTACTTCATTGTTGGTGGGAGTGTAAACTTGTTCAACCACTTTGGAAAGTAGTATGGAGGTTCCTCAAAAAACTCCACATAGAGTTCCCTTTTGACCCAGCAGTCCTATTTTTGGGCATTTACTCAAATGTTTACAAACAAGATCACACTAAAGCTACCAGCACAACTATGTTTATTGCAGCATTATTTACCATAGCTAAGATCTGGAACCAACCCAGATGCCCCTCAGTGGATGAATAGATCATGAACATTCAATTTGGAATATGCTGTTTTACATCTACAGTGCTAGAAGCCCAGGTGTCAGAGATAGGGAAAAGTCAGTTTGTGTGAAAAACCCACAAGACCCCATATCACCAATAAAACCTGAGCATGGTGGATGTACCTACCAGTCTGTATATAAAAATGAGGTTCTATTCAAAACATAACTAAAACCAGAAGTGCTGGAGATGGGCCCAAATGTTAGATCACCAGCATAACAATAACAAGGCCCTGCGATCAAACCCTAATACTGCCATGCCCAAGAAAGAATCAAATTTGAAATACTGGGATATTCAATAAAACTAAAAAAAAAACATACATTGCATGTATAATTGATCTCAAAAAGATATAACAATTATTTAATTAAAAGTAGCTGAAGAAAGATTATCCTGGAGAACAAAAACTATCTCAGATATAATTCATGGGTTAACCATAATGATTATATATTATTTTAATTAATATAAATTTTATACAAGTGTTCAGTGTGAACATTTGAACCTTTCTTAGTTAGATTTAAAATACAAATAAACCCAATAATTATCCAAACTATTTCATTACAGACAATAAGCTTTGTAAGTGGATCCATTCGATTATAAACAAACAAAGGCGGGAGGGAAGACAAGATGGCGGAGGAGAAGCTGGAAGCTGAACAAGCTCTCGCATAGAAAGCAGTTTTAGAGTTCCAGTGAACAGTCCTAAGCCAGAGAAACACACCAAGTGTGCCATCACAGGACAGTTAGACAAGTGAGAGAAAGCCAAGGCAAGAATACACATCTGAACACCAGCCAGCAGCTGCCGCCGGCGGCGGCGGCAGGGTCGCAGTGGAGACCGCAGCCGGGCTATCGG